TGAAACTGCTCAAGACATCACAGGACGAGATGGACCAGGTCAGAACAAAGAAAAAACACATCCATCCACCATACACAATGCTGTAGTCAAAATTATTCAAGTAGGTATCGCTGCAGCCCGGCGACCCCCTAGTGGGACGGCTTACACCGCAAGTAGGTTGGGTGACCTACAAGTGGGAGGGACTTAAACCACAAGTAGGTTGGGTTTAAGTGGTGTAGGTGGAGTACACATTAATAAAACAGAACAGGTTACTGTAAGGTTGGGTTTAGGTGTAACCATTAGGGATGTAACGGTATCAGAATTTCACAATACGATAATACCTCGGTATGAATGGCTTGGTACGGTATTTATTGAATAATTTACAGGAAAAACAAAACTAATGAAAAGACTCAAAAAGTGGCAAAAGTGTTTATTTACCTTAGCACTGAACATATCAATGACATACAAATTAGCCATCTATCTGTAAGTTTCGAAACAGGAACTTAAATTTTTCAATTTTAATAACAAAAAACTATAAAACCATGTAAATAAAATAAAGTTTCAGTTTAGTATTGTTGAAAACTCATCACATTCAACATTTAATCACTCACTCACTTAGATAGAAATGGGTTTTTAAGGAAAATTATCATATAACTATAATCTGGTAAAAGCTGGGATCTCTGGGCATGTCCCCTGCAACAGAAAAAAAACCCCTCTCATTTGGGACTGAGGTTTCTGGGACAGAGAGAGATGATTTAGCGAAGGTTGACAGTAGTGGGTAACGTTGTGCATCATCTTTCCACCACTTGAGAGGACAAGCCATGAGTGAGATAGAGGTCTCTTTGCGGTACAAGTCAATGTCTGCATCAATCTAACAAGTGTGCTGTGTTCTGCAGTCCCCATGACTGTTTTAGTCGTATTCCCTGACTTATATTTCACCACAGTCTGGCAGTGCCTGCATACTGTTTTTTTCTTTGTCACCTTTTCTCCTTTTTCGTATCTTTTTAGAAAGAAACCGAAATGCTTCCACACATCTGATTTAAAACTCGCTTTAGGTTCGATCATTTCCAGCTCTTTTTCTTCCCCGTTACTAGCAACACACTTCATTTCCGCATTACTGGATCTGTAGTTACAACAGACCGCAAAGGATGATGGCCACGCCTAGGCTGATGGGAATTGTAGTTCCCGCTTCCTCCCGTTCGCTTCATTTGCCTAAGCAAACTTTTCTCAGAAATATAGTTTTATTGAGTCATGCGCCTACGGTAATATTGAAAAAAATTACTATTGCAGTATGACGGTATTTACAATATTCTTACATCCCTAGTAGATGTTAATAAAACAGAACGGGTTACTGTGAGGTTGGGCTTCGGTGTAGATGTTAATAAAACAGAACGGGTTACTGTGAGGTTGGGCTTCGGTGTAGATGTTAATAAAACAGAACGGGTTACTGTGAGGTTGGGCTTCGGTGTAGATGTTAATAAAACAGAACGGGTTACTGTGAGGTTGGGCTTCGGTGTAGATGTTAATAAAACAGAACGGGTTACTGTGAGGTTAGGGTTTGGTGTAGACATTCATAAAGCACATTATTGAACTCTAAATATGACTAAATAAATAAAATAGTCCAGAAAAGCTTTTCTATGCTCATTTCTTTTTTTTGAACAACGTGTTTATTGTTTTTGATTATGCAAGACAGGTAACAGAAAAACACGATGCCATTTCGTCGCAATTATTTCCCACCCCAACCAAAGAACATCACTCTCTTCTCCCCTATATAAATGCACAGAATTCTCTCACAAGAGACAATTTAAGTGCAAAACAAATATTGCTAGGTACCCAAAAACTAAGTATATATTTCTGTACTTTACACATAGAAGTTACATTATCCAACAAAACTAAACAAATCGCACACACACACACACACACACACACACACACACACACACACACACACACACACACACACACACACACACACACACACACACACACAAATAAAAACACAATGCTTAGTTACACCTCTTGTAATAAATGACCAATATTATTGTTGTTAATGTAGTAATTAAACAGCTTCCATATTTCTTCACTTTTTACTTCTTTTATTCTTATAAATAAGCGTGCTAAGTGTCGATGTAATGTAATTTTGTTCTGCCTTGCATCTGCTGTGATGTTTTGAATGACAAAATAAGGGAGAGTAAAACTGAACGTTGATTTTTAAAGTTTTTTATTTTATGTTTTATGTTATTTAGCGCTTGTAATCTCGGAATAACATACCTTGCAATGTCAAAATGCCAATGACAAAATCTTAATAGAAATCAAGTCAAAAAACGCAGCAACTTTAGCTTTAAAAAACCAAATTTAATTGGCCAACGTTTCAACCTACATGGGCTTCATCACGTCACGTTTAATTTTCCTGGATGTCCCTGCCGTAAAAGCATCTTTGTGTTGTGTATTGTTCTTCAGACCCGAAGTGAGCTGAGTCTGATCCAGGAGAGCCAGCGGGAGCTCAATAAGAGCATCGAGCGCTACAGTAAGGCTCTGACTGAAAACATGAGTCTGACGGACCTGGAGCAGATCATTGCTGAGGAGGAGAACAACAGCAGCAGCAGCAGCAGCATTAGCAGCAGCACTGAAGCCAGGGTGAGGAATCGATAATGTCTGTCTTCATCATGTGCTGTTAATCCTACGTGTGCGCCATGTAGGTCACTTGACAGACTTCCCTAAAACCTCTATCTCCACCAGTGTAAAGCGAGTGTTTTATTTATCTTAGAAAGTACTTATGTTTTTAAAAGACTGAAGAGCTGGTACATATAGGTACATCCTAAGAGCAATACACATGAAAACAAAAATTCTTGAAAAATATCATCATCGAAATAATGGAATATGCAGTGTTTACATTTACATTTAGTCATGAGGAAAAAAATTAGGAAAAAGAAGCAATTTACACAACTATAAGAGCAACAATGAATAAGTGCTATAGGCAAGTTTCAGGTCTGTACAGTCTAAGGAAAGTATTAGTAATTTTATTTTTTTTTGAGCACAGTTAGTGGTATATCCAGAATAAATAGTTTAGTTTTTAGTCGTTTCCTGAAGACAGCGAGTGACTCTGCCGTTCTGATGCAGTTAGGGAGTTCATTCCACCAACTGGGCAGATTGAATGCGAGCGTTTGGGAAAGTGATTTCTTAAGTTTTTTAAGAATTCAAACTAACACAATTCAAATTTAGATTGTTTTGGCACTATTAGCTTCATATGTATTTAGGACACATTCATCCAGAATGCATCTTTGCACCTGAAACGCCAATCCACTGACTGTAAAAAAAAATAAAAATAACAAGGCACATGAAATATCATGAACGACTGGTTACGGAAGTTTGGTACTACACCCAAACAGAATCTGACTGTGAGCTCATTTCTTGAGATATCAACTTTAGGTAGAAAAAAAACTAATTTTAAAAAACATACTTCCAATACATATATCATCCAATAACTCCACTATTTTTATTTATTTTTTAATTATTTTTGGGTGAACTATCCCAATAAATCTATGCTCTAAAGTATTCAACAATGTAAGCTGAAATAGCACAATGGATTTAAATGTACATACAACATATATAAACATAATTAACCAGGTGCTAGAAAAGCAAACAAATGTCCCTTGAAAGTGCTTGAAAAGTGCTGGATTTTGAAGTTGGAAAAGGTGTAAGAACCCTAAAAGTTTATTACACACTGAATCCAAAAATTCCATCCATAATTTTTCACATTAAAAAAACAATTTGTCCTCTCGTTGTGTGAATCGTATTGACACACTGCCTCTGAAAATTTTGTTCGTCATTTAAAATTTTTTTACTGGGCTTTATTATTACATTTTTTTTTTTTTCAGTTTTTCACATTTGTACAAGCGAAAGGCAAAATGTCATCACTTGAGCCACACATAACTTTATGACAAGCACAGTGCATAAAATAAAGACAGAATGTGGCAGATAGTTGAGAACCCCTATATGCTGAACTCTGTCACAAACGCACCTCTCCCATGCTGCTGTTTGGTGTGTGTGGAGGGTGTTTGAAAACAGTATTGACACCCAGTTGAGAAACGCTGCTCTGGTTGATGACAATTCTTAACAGAAGTTCTAAGCAGCCTACCGCAAGGCGCTGGTCACTATGACACCCTCCATGCAGCAACGAAGAAAAAGGATTATAGGGATTAGCTGGAAAATTCAGTCATGAGGACTGGAAATGCTCGTTATCACTTTATTTACTGTAAACGTGTCCTGTTTTTACTAATTAAGTCCAAAAACAAACAAACTCATTTACTAAGTGCCTCAGTTAAAACAAAGGCTAAATCCTGATCATTGTAGAAATCACCTTTACACTAACACAGCTCCAGTGAAAAGTTGAGTTATAGTAAACCAGCAGTAATCCCTATATTATGAAGGAAATACGGCTTGAGTGTTTGCTCTTTTCCACAAATGTTTGTTCACGTTTAAACTCTTTGAAAGGTTACCGGGAAAACACACACACACACACACACACATACACATACACACACACACACACACACACACACACACACACACACACACACACACACGCACGCACACACACACACACGCACGCACACACACACACACACACACACACACACACACACACACACAGAGTTGAAGTCAGAATTATTTTCCTCCTGAATACTTTTTTCCCGAATTTCTGTTTAATGGATATTTTTTTCAACACTCTTCTAAACATAATAGTTTTAATAACTCAATTCTAACTGATTTCTTTTATCTTGGCCATGATGACAGCACATAATATTTGATTGTGTACTTTTCAAGACACTAGTATTCAGCTTAAAGTGACATTTAAACCCTAAATTTGGTTTATTAGACAAGTTAGGGCCTACTCACACTATGCCATCCATACCGTGCCCAGGCCTGTTTCCCGGACCGTTTGAGAAGTGTGAGTGCGCTGAATCGGGCTCAAGCACGGTTCACTTGGCCGGCCCTGGCCCGGTTGGAAGAGGTGTGCCTGAGCGCGGTTCACTTGGGCTTTGGCGCGGTACGCTTGTGTGTGAGTGCAAAACGCACAAAAGCCCGAAACTGAAAGCGTGACGTGACTTTTAAGGGGCTGTTTCATATGGATTTATTAATCATTCTTACTGTTCAGTGATCGCAAATCACTGAACGCAAAGTGATCTGCCGTAGTTTATTAAAGACGCAAACCCCTCACAGCACGACAGCTGCGCGGCTTCAGCAGACCTCCTCATTCCTGCAGCACGAGAGCTTTATGATTGTTTATGAGCGCCAAAAGTGGCGGATCTGTCCGGTAAAATATCTGACTGCGTGTCCCCGCATCCCAAAGGACTGTTTGGCGAAATATTTGACGGCATGTCACTGCATAACAAACGACTGAAAGGATATAACTAGAGAAATCTCTACTGTGCTACTGGGTGAGAGCGTATGGCAAGCCGTTTTAACATTTAAACTTTGTTCTGACTATCCATAAATATATTTAGAGATATCTCTAATTATATTTTGACTAGTCATAATTATAATTCGACTAGTCAGATTGGAAATATCTGCAAATATATTATGACTGACTAGTCATATTCCTCCATTGACTTCCATTGAAAAATATTTGCAGATATCTCTAAATAAGTTTTGACTAGTCACAATTGTAATTAGAGATATCTCTGACTGAGTTTTGACTAGTCAAAAATCCAATTCAAGATATCTACAACTGTAATTCGACTATTAATAAATTAATTAGAGATATCTTCAAATATATTTATAAATATCTCTAAATATGACGAATTAAAGATATCTCTAAATGTATTATGACTAGTCAAAGCTCAGTTAGAGATATCTCTAATTACAATTGTGACTAGTCAAAACTAATTTAGAGATATCTGCAAATATTTTCCAATGGAAGTCAATGGAGGAATATGACTAGTAATAATATATTTGCAGATATCTCCAATCTGATTTCGTACTAGTACAATTGTAATTGCAGATATCTCTAATTGTCAT